ATTTAAATAAAAATCTCTAAATTGGTAATTGAATTACCTCCCTGTAGCTTTAGAGTTTGTGACATTTCTTGACCTTGCTAGTTCTTTCATTAGATCCATGCAAGATCTAGTCATATGGTTAAGGATATTAAGCAGACACGACTATGAACCCAAGAAACCATATTACTGTTGGTCATACTTAAACTGTTTATTTCCTTAAGTATATGACCCACAAGGATGTGAAATAACAAGAAACTGTTTTTGTACACTGTACATCCTTAGTATTTTTACACGTATATGATAGGGATGCACATTATTTTCCTTCGTACAGACAGCTTAAATAAAGCACTATGTCAATCTGCTACTTCTGTGTTTATTAATCCTACTTTTTTGTGAAGTTTTGTACATACGCATGGTGAAGTTTGCTACAGAGGACTTATTTTTATACCTGCACATTAATATTAAATATATGGGATAAAATCTCAAATACATTCCTTGCAATGTGGTGAAAAACTGAAACAAGTAGGTTTTCACTGCAATTCAGAGCAGCTCTCTCAAGTGTCCAAGTTACAGTTTAAAACAGATTATTGGTCATGTCATCTAATGTGCACTTTTTAAAATTATTTATGCAGGTTAGTTTATTCAGGTCTGGAATCTGAAAGGATCTCACTTAATTTCTTTTTATAAAAGATGTACATCGTGATTTACTTTGTTATCACCATGCATGTAATATTCTGATTGGCGATGCTATGTGCAGTTTCAGCTCAAGACTAATTTGGCGTAAAGCCCAAATGAAAAATATAATTTGGTGTAACATATTTCAGATTCTCAGTGTTCAATTTCTGTTGCTGAAATCAATTTATGCTATAGAAAAATAGTAAGGTTCTGGATGGCAGGTGTTGGACCACTGGCATTTAAGTATTTGTATGGTATACTAAAAATTGTAAAGGCTTTGAGGACCATGACTTTTTTTTAGTCACTTTGGATTACTTTGCTAACTCAGATCTGTATCCACAGGGAGCTGGATATTTAGGGCACCTAATATTCAGGTGCCTTGTCACCAAGTGAAATTCACTGCCTCAGCTTCAGTGGCCGGGTAGCTTGTGCAGTGCTTGTGGAGAAGTAGTTAAGTGCCTAAGAGCAGGATTCACAGGAGCTAGCAAGCTGAAACAGGGAGTCGCCTAAATTAGCTAGGAGGAAGGACCAAGGAGATGGCTAGGGTCTCAACTCACCTCAGCTGAGGCTGGTACCTATCTCCAGTACCTGTACATGAGCCCTTCTGGAAACTGGAGGTCTAAACCATCCCAATCCTCTCTCACAAAAACCAGTATGAGGTGAACCCCCCACCCAGTTATACCCAATAGTCCAGCGACTATGCCATTGTCCTGGGATGGCATAAAGAGCAGTTTTCAACTCTTCAGTCTGAGTCTGAACGGGAACTTGTATTCATGTCTCCCGCTTGATGGGAGTGTCCTAGCTGTTAGGTATTCTACGTATTAGTCTTTTGATTTGTCCTGTAGGGAGGGTTCTGCTTGTTTAAATAAATATTACCTCATTTACCTGAATCCAAGACTACTTTGAATTTAAGATGTCCCCCCTCCCAATAATTACATTTTATACATGGAAAATTGTAACATTTATAATTTTCCAAGTATAGAATCTAATTATATGGGGGGGGGGGTCATGTTAAATTCCTCCCCCCCAATTGCTGGGGTGGGAAAAGCAGCAGTGGGGGGTGAGGGGCCAGATCTCTGTCTCTTGCTCCCTTGCCCCTGTGCCTGCTCTTCCTGCTGCCTGTGCCTGTCTCTACTCCCTACCTCCTCCACCCCCTGCCTACATCCCTCCCCCTTATTACATTCTGCTGCAGCTTGGGTCTGGACAGGGAAGTCAGCAGTAGTTGTGGTCCAGCCCGGCCTGGCCAGGTAGAAGCTGTGGCAGCTTCTGCTTGGGCTGGCTCAGGGCTAGAGGGACTGAAGCCAGAGCAGAAGATAAGGGGGTGAGGGGGCAGGCACAGGCATGAGGCGAAAGGGTAGGGGTGCAGGCTTCCCTCTCCCCCTGCAGTTTCCTTTTGTGCTTCCCTGGCCATGTGGCCCTCTCCCCACCAAGCGAGCCATTGCATCGCAGGGCAGGCTGCAGCTCAGCTCTGGCTCCAGCCCTGAGTCTGGGGCCACAGCTGCAGCAGAGCTGCTGCCTGCTCCAGGCTGGTACTCTAAACCAAGAGGAAGCTTCCTCCCCCTCATGCTGATTGGGGAAAAAAACCTTGTCTTGTATTTGAGTAAATAGGTAATTGTGACAGAGAGAGGAAGATGCAATACCTATGGGGTTATGCATAACTGAACAATACTGGAGTTAGATGCCTAAGTGATCTTTGTGAATTTAGCCCGTAATTATTTCTACTTCCCTGCATACAGTTCAGCCATAGAGAGTAGTTTAAAGAAGTTATCATTTTTAGAGTGTGATAAGTGCATACATAATACCACAAATATTGTATTTAGGTGAATTTCACATACTCTTTATTCCCCACTCCCAGGATGAGAACCATGACCCCTGCTACAGAGGAAGGCAGCCCCCCTTCCCCACCATTTGTACCAGTCTGGCCATTAGGTAAAACTTCTGGACCCCAAAAACAATGTGGCCTTGAGTGGAAGGGCGAGACCCTCTAACCAGGAAGCCCTGGCTTTGTGCTAATGCTTCTGCTGGGACTTAGAGTCAAAATCTCTGGTCTTCCCTGCAGCCAACACCCAGTGCTTCTGAGCAAGGCAAGAAAATGCTTCCCCACCTCCCAGTGTGCAGCAACAGGAGAGGAAAATATTCCTTCCCAGCCCTAGATAGCAACCAGTAAAGCCCAGGAGCATGGGAAATACCCATAGTAGAGCACAGGCATAGATACTCCTAGACCTTTCCCGATCAACACTTGTCCACCCTCCTCCTAAACACCTCCTATGATGGAGGCCAAAACTTCCTTGGCAGTTTATTCTACTGCCTCACTCTTCTAAAAGTGAAGAAGTTTCTCCTCATGTCAAATCTAAACTTATTTTGCTGCAACTTAATGCTTGTATTAATGCAGCCTGAAATTTACCTTTTGTGCAGCTGCATTGCACTGCAGACTCATGCTGAGTTTGTGGTCCACTAAGACTAGATCTTTTGCTGTAGTGTTGCCATTCAGCAGATGTCACCCATTTTGTATTTGTATTTCTCATTACTCTTCCTAGAGGTGTAGTATCTTGCATTTGTCACTACTGAACTTCATCTTGTTAGCTCCAGCCCAGCTTTTCAATCTGTCAAGCTCCTTCAGAATTGCGCTCACATCCTCCAACACGGTTCACTGTCCTTCCCAGTTTCATGTCATCTGCAAACTTGCTCAAGAAGCTTTCTATTCCAGCACCCAGATCATTAATAAACATGCTGAACAGCACTGGGCCCAGGGCAGACCCCTGTGGGACTCCACTTGAAACATCCTGCCATTCTCACATGGATCAATTTATAATTACCCTTTGCTTACTGGCTTTCAAGTCGGTTGTCAATCTACCTGACAGTAGTTTTGTCTAACCCACCTTTCTCCATTTGGGACTTTGTCAGAAGTCTTGCTGAAGTCCAGATTTACTGCATTTCTTTCATACCCCTGGTAGTGGCTCTGCAATCACAACAGCCAACCCACTCAGTACCCTCAGTGCATTGTGTCCAGCCCCAAGGACTTGTACACATCCAACTTTTCTAAATAGTCCCTAACCTGTTCTTTCACCACTGTTGGCTGCTCACCTACTCCCCAAACTGTGCTGCCAGGTGCAGCAGTCTGGGAGCTGACCTTGCCTGTGAAGACTGAGGTGAAAGAGGCATTGAATACTTCAGCCTTTTCCACTGAAAACCTAATCTGTCATTAGGTTGCCTCCCCCATTCAGTAAGGGACCCATATTCTCTGATTTTCCTCTTGTTGCTGATATACTTGAATTATATCCAGTAACTTCCTGGATTTCAAGATGGTGCTAAACAGCCTATGGCTTCCTGGGTCCTCCTTTTGTCTTTTAAAGGAGGGGCACTAGTTTGGTTCTTTTCCAGACCTCTGGTATGTTGCCTGACTCCTATGACTTTGGAAGTATTATTGCCAAGGACTCAGACCTCCTTTGCCAGTTCATTAGGCCCCGCTGACTTGAATTCATTCAGACCCATCAAAAGCTCTCTGACTGTCTCTTTTGTTATCTCATCCCTCAGACTGTACTCTTTCTTATCCAAATAATCCTGATTAGCTTTCTGGTTGCAGCTTTTTTTGTGTGAAGACTGAAGCAAAGTAGCTGTTGAGCAGTTCTGGCTTCTTTGCATTTTCTGTTACATTTTACCTTGGCTATTTTGCAGTTGATCCTTGGCTTTCTTCATCTTTCTTTTCTGGCCAACATACTTACAGAACCTCTTCTTCTTGTATGTAATTTTAACTTCTCTTTCCAGTTGCAGCTCATTTTTTACCTTTGCTCTCCTGATTTTCTCCCTGCAAGTTTTTGCTATTTCCTGATAAGCTTCCTTAGTGACCTGTCCATCTTTCCAGTGTCTGTATTATTCCCTTTTGCCTTTGAGGCATCCTAGAAGCTCCTTGTGTAGTCACATTGGTCTCTTACCATTGTTGTTCTTCCATTTGATCAGAACAGTTTCTTGTTGTGCTTCCAATACTGTGCCATTGCATTAAATAAATCAATCATAAATTGGGCTAGAGTGTGGGTTAAGAACGACTATCGTGTAGTAGTTAGGAGCCTTACCTGGGCAGTGAGAAACCCGGGGGTCCAATCTCTGCTCCAGTAAACAATTATGTAAAGTGAGGAATTCTTGTACAAGGCTCTTTAAAGAGAAAAAAGTTCCCAGTTAGCTTACCTTGAAAGCCAATAATGATGAGAAGACGTATTATGCACACATGTGATCAGTATCGATATGTAAACTACTGTATGTCAAAAAAACCCCAGACCTCTTTC